TCCGCGCCTTCGAAGCCACAACCCCTCGTAACAAGACCCGTGTCATTCTCAAGCGTACCTCGAGGCACGGAGTGCTATCCTCAAATCGTCTGGAGTCCTCTATCCTCAAATTGAAAGAAAACAAAAAAAAAAACGATTCCCCGGCTTGTGACTTTACCAGGGGACCCAATGGTACAGCTCAGGATGTACACTTCCGAGGGAGCTCGTTACGCACACGGGCGCTTGACCTTTTTTTTTCTCTCTCTCTCTCTCTCTCAATTTTTGACACGCGCACACACCACACACCACACACCACACACCACACACCACACACCACGCACACATACCACACACACACACACACAAACCCACACAGACACACACGCACACGCACACACACACACACACACACACACTGCCACGAACCAGGGGGACGGGATGGCACTCTAAAACTTCCCTCGCCCTCCCGGAAATCCGGGGGGGGCCAGGAGGGGGTCTGACCCCCCCCTTCCTGGGGATTGCGGGGTCCGAAAGAGGGGGGGCAGGAGGGGGGGGGAACCCCCTTATCAGGAGCGACGACGCAACGACGACGACGACGACGACGACGACGACGACGACGACGGCGACGACGACGGCGACGGCGACGGCGACGGCGACGGCGACGGCGACGGCGACGGCGACGACGGCGGCTACGGCGACGGCGACGGCGACGAAGGCGACGACGACGACGACGACGACGCCGACGACGACAGCGACAGCGACGAGCCGGTGGGCTGGTCGGGCGGGCGGGGCATTAAATGCAACCTTCATTCACTCTGTGCTGGAAGAAGGTCATGGGAAAATATATCACAATCGCCAAAGACGCCGATCGGGCGGGGGGAACACCAAATGAAACCAGTTATCAGTGATTGGGCGGGCGGGACATCATATGCAATCCTCACCGTGTGCAATCAGAAAACTAAACGTAAATCGATCACGACCGCCGAGGACGCCCATCGGGCGGGCGGGACACTAAAAGAACCATTCGCCCAATGATGGGCGTCCATATTGAGCGACCAGGACATGAAATGCAATCTTCACTCTGTGTGGAGAACAGGCCATGGGAAGAACATTGCAACCGCTCAAGACACTGGCCGGGCGGGCGGAACGTCAAATGAAACATGTGGTCAATCATGGGGCGTCCAAGTTGGGCGGGCGGGACACGACATGCAACCTTCACATTGCGAAATGAGACGTTGCAGGGGGAATCGATCACGACCGCCGAAGACGACGTTCGGGCAGGCGGGACATTCAAAGAACCATTCGCTCAATGATGGGGCGTCCACACTGGGCGGGCGGGGCATCGAGTGCAACCTTCACTCGGTGTTGGGAGAATGCCATGGGAACATATATATATGTATATGTATATATATATATGTATATATCACAACCGCCCAAGACGCGGGAAGGTCGGGTGGAACATGATATGAAACCTGCGTGTAATGATGGCGCGTCCAAAGAGAGCGGGCGGAACATTAGATGCAAACGCTTCACGATGTGCAATCAGGAAAATGAAGGGGGGTCGAACACAGCCGCCGAGGATTTCGTCCGGGCGGGCGGGGCATCCAAGGAACTGTTTACTTAGTGATGAGGCGTCCAGATCGGGCGGGTCGTCGTCGTCCTCGTCCTTGTCCTCGTCATCGCCCGCGTCGTCGTCGACGTCGTCGTCGGCATCGTCGTCGTCATCGTCGCATCCGCCATCGTCTTCCCCCTCATCGTCGTTTTCGTCCTCGTCGTCGTTCACGTCGCCGTCGTCGCCGTCACCGTCGTGATCTATGCGTGCACGTGCTAGCCCCCTGTCGCCATCGTCGTCGCCGTCATGTGCGGTTGCTGACCCCCCTCGTTGTCGTCGTCGTCCTCCTCCTCCTCCTCCTCGTCATCGTCGTCGCCGTCGTGGTCCGCCCTCGGGATTCTAGCGGGAGGGGGGGTGGGGCACCCCCCTTCTTGCCGGCCCCCCCCAGGAGCGACTTGTTGCAATCACACAAGCTAAGGATCTCACGTGGCTCCCCCAGGTTCTCGGGGGAGTCCCCTTCCTCAGAGGGCTCGGAGCTCGGAGCCATTTTAGGGAGGCCCCCACACGGGTTCGAACCCTGGGGGGGACTTAGAAGCGCCCAAACATGTGCTCTTTCGCAAATCCAAAACTACTCCAGATTGCACTGAGGATCGTCCTGGAGCTAGCTCCCTTGAGCGTCTCTCAGGCCGTCTTGGAGGCCCTGAAGCTGGCCAAACCACGAGGTCAACATCGCCCAAATCCCTTAGGATTCGCATGACATGTTGCATTTTCGACTTTTCGGCAATCGCGGCCAAAGAGGCCCCAGAGCCAGTTGCCCGAGGGAGGTAGGTTGCACTGCTCGGCGTCCCCCCTGCCAGGAGTCGGTCGCCAGACGAAGCACCCGACCGCTGGCTGCCCGCGTTTCCAGGTGCATAGCAGCTCGGGTTCAGGGCAGCCGTCGCAGGTAGCACTGTAGACCCCAGACCTGAGTCCCTCTGTGCCGAAGCGGTCGTCGTCGGGTCGCGTTGGGGAGTTTGGCACGCCTGTCACCCTGGGGTCGTTGGCCGAGTCAGGTGCGAGAAGGAGGTCGCGTAGCAGGCAGTCGGCGGTTGGGTTGGCGATTTTGGCAAACCCGGTCGGGAGGTGCACAGAGAGTGTCAGACTGAAGGCTGTGGTCCTGCTGGGCACGGTATTCCGGAGGTTGGCCAGCTTTTCGCGCATCGAGTCGCCTGCGGGGGTATCAGTACCTTGCTTCTCGAGGCTCTCCACCCAGCACCCAGTGCACAGCCAACGGCAGTTGAGTCCCTCGCGCCACCCCGCAAACCTTGCCGTAGCCAGACGTTGACGCGTATCGTTGTCCTCCCAGGTGCCGTTGATGTTTGTGGAAGGGCCTCTCTGACGTCGCAGCAGAAGCTGGCAGTGTTCTGCGACGGCGAGAAGCGCTGGCCTCCTGTTTCGAAACCTTTGTCGGTGTCACTGTGGCGCCGTATTTCCCTGTAGGGGGTTCATGTATGAGAAGGTCCTTCTGGCCCATCGCTCGCCCAATGCCCGCATAGTGCATCTTCTGGTCTGGCGTGCACCCGAGATGCTTGTGATTCCCTGTGATGGATTTGTGGAGCCAGCAATTGGTGCAGCTGGTTGTCTCGTTGTCAGACTGGTCATCCGTAGGAGCCAGCGGTACTTGGAGCGGTCCGATGAGCTGGTCGAGCATTAGCAGGATCCCTTTGATGCGAAGTCAGAACACTTGAATTCTTCCCACGCTGACGGACATCCTGCTTGTTTCGAGACATCGTGGTGGCTGATCCTTGTAAGCACGCTCACGTGTCTTAGCGCGTCGGTACATCGCCGATGCAGGTTCTGGTAGTCGTGATTGGAAATATATTCCATGTCAGACCAAACTGCGTCCGGAAACGAAGGTCACTTGCAACGGATGTGGTGCCGGTAGACCTGCCAGGTTTGCGTATGCCCAAGACGGCCTCCACGATATACCCTGCCCCTTTCTTGTTCGGAGAAGGGGAAGAAACAAATCCTTGGTTCCCGAAGCGCTAGCATCATCATCACGGGGGCAGTGCAGGTCTGAGCACGCGCGGTGGGGTCAGTAGGCATGTTGTCGCCTTTGATGATGTTTTCCAGGCCGTCCATCCCTGTATGAAGTTGGTGCATTGGACACTGTGTCGTCGCGGCACTCCATACTGTGGGTAGCTGCTTCTCCATGCCAGCTGGCGAGCCCCGTCCTTGGATGCGCGCTTCTGTAGGCAGCCTTGTGGCCTTTCAGGCAGGTTGGCCACCGGGAGCGAGGTGCTGCCGTCGCCCCACTAGTGGCCAAGCCCGACCGCACGCATCATGCACGCCCAGAGAATGGTGTATGTCAGATTGCCGGCATCAATTCCAATCGTAGCATCATAGATAAACCCTTTGTGGCTCCACACCTTCCTGTCGTAAATGTTGGGATCGTTGGGGTGTTGTGCAGGGTTGAGGGCGTGCGGGTGAAGGCCAGAAACAAGGTAGAGGACAGGAAAGAGAGCGGGTGAGGCCAGGAGTGCTCTTAGCGAGTTGATGAGCTGCTTCGCCAGGGTTTTCCATTCAAACCCTTCGGGCGGGGATACGCGAAGCATGAAGAAATAAAAAACAAAAGCGAAACGCCCAGCACGGCCTGCGGAGACGTCTGGAGGTGCGACAGGGGGGTTATTCAAAAGGATTGATAGGATGGGGGGGAAGGAGAGGAGTGACACAAGAGGAGGAGCAAGAGGAAGAGGACAGAGAAAACGACGACGACGACGACGACGACGACGACGAAGGCGGACTAGGCGACCCTTGATAAGCACACGCGTCGGCTCGGGGCTCCGGAGAAGGAGGTGGAGGGACACGTGCGGGCGGACGTGACCTGCTGTCCGCCTCGGGGGAGGGTGCACAGGTGTCCCCATCCTCCGGCGCGACGACGTGTGGGCGCGAGGGCAGCCGCGCAACCCCGCGGAACACGGAACGCAAGGCGGCTGGGCTGTCAATGGGCACCTCCCCCTCCCCCTTCGTATTCCTCCTCCGTCTCCTCCTCCTCCTCCTCCTCCTCCTCATCCTCCTCCTCCTCCTCCTCCTCCTCCTCCTCCTCCCTCCTCTGCCTCCTCCTCCTCCTCCTCCTCCTCCTCCTCCTCCTCCTCCTCCTCCTCCTCCTCCTCCTCCTCCTCCTCCTCCTCCTCCTCCTCCTCCTCCTCCTCCTCCTCCTCCTCCCCTCCCCCTCCCCTCCCCCTCCCTCCTCCTCCTCCTCCTCCTCCTCCTCCTCCTCCTCCTCCTCCCTCCTCCTCCTCCTCCTCCTCCTCCTCCTCCTCCTCCTCCTCCTCCTCCTCCTCCTCCTCCTCCTCCTCCTCCTGCCTCTCAACCTTTTTTCTCAAATTGGATAACACGCCCGTCACTCGCTCGCTCGAGCTAATTGTGCGAAAGTCGCATGCTCTTGCGGAGCCCAGGCTCGTCGTCATACTGTGGGGGCACAGAAAACAAATATAAAATCGTTTCGTGCGCAACGGAATGTGCTCTCAGACGGAAGCCAAATCCTGCCATGTTCCCTGTCGTAGATTGGCCTGCCTCGTCTTGCTATGTTACTCATCCCTTCGTTGCTGCTTCTGCTCATGCACTTGCACCTCTTCTCTCCTCCCTACTCCTTCCCCATTTTCTTTCCTGGTTTCGCCGGAAGCGGTTTCTACCTGCCACGCGAACCACCCCTTGTGCTCGGCAAGCAGCAGCGCGAAAAAACAGATCAACGCGACGACAAGTTAGCCGAAGACCACGGCCTGGCGCGGCTGTGCCTTGAACGCCCGACAGGGCAACGGAAAAATGGGCACGCTGCCCAACAGCAGATGCTGTCCCAAGCCGACAGCGGCTGCTGTTTGGGGCAGGCGGCCCTCTGCCTCAGTGGACAACGCCCCGCAGCGACGCCGACAGCGAACCCTGCTCACAACGGACACGAACAGCTGTTAAAGAAGAAAAAACGGCATCAACATAAACTGTTGGCGCTCCGCGCGGATCTCTTGGATCTGCGGTGGACCCCGCTCCCTAGCGCATGGAGTACGCCAGGGGCGGCGCCGGACGCGCCGCCGGGTTGCCCCCATCGCGGATCCAAAAAATCTGCGCGGAACGCCACAAGCTTCTGTTTTATGGCGGTGTTTTTTCTTCGATGTCATCTGTTTTTGATGGGCAAAGAACGGTATGTAATAAACGCTACAGCCGCCACGCGATATGCGCCCCCAACGACGGACAAAGTTATGTTTCACAACGCTCGCCCGCTATAGTCTTCGCCCCCGTTCTGTCCGTCTCGATGTCGATCGCGCCGACACGCCGCCGCGAGGGACCGCAACAGGGCGACGAAATCCATACATATCCAGTGCTCCCCTGTCCGGGCCCATCAAAAGGGCGCTCACGCAGCTCCCGGGCCCAGGAAGGGCCTGCCGGGAAGCAAGTGGACACGTGCAGGTTTAGGTCGGGCACGTCTTCCTGCAGGCGGACTTTGGAAGACAAGTTAGAAAGTGCCCCCAAAGAGAAACAGATTCGAAAACTCGACCTTGCCCCCAGATTACTTTCTGACAATCTTTGGACATTCTTCCTGCAGCGAGACGGGCCCGACTTCAACATGGGCTCCGTCGCCCGACGCGACGCCGCCACCCAGCCCCGCGCTGCCCGCGCCCAGCGCAGGGTCAGCCTCGACCCGCCGCCGCCCTGCGCAGGGCGACGCTCCGCTCCTGGCCCTGGTTTTCGGTCGGGCACGTGCACCCACCGACGGATGCTGGGAAGAGAGAAAAGCAAAAATCAAAAAGAAACAATCTACATATATATATATATATATACACCAAAAAACGACACACTCAACAACGATCCAAGGAAAGTCGGGAAGTGGCCCCCAAACTATTGGATGTCGTTTCTTGGCAAACCCCTCCTGTGCAGGGACATGCCCGAATCAACCCTGGCTCCTGGCCCGGCCCACCCACCCCTCCGCCCTCCTCCTTCCCTCCTCCCCCCCCCTCTCGACAAAGCCATAGCTCGTCGTGAGTCCGACGCGCCGCAATGCCATCGGTGAGCCGGACGCGCCGCAGTGCCATCGGGACCATTCTCAAGGCAACCCCAGCAATGGACCGAAAGCGGGGGGGGGCCAAACGCCGCCCCCCCCCCCCGCGTCCGCCAGGAGCTACAGCGAACGCCAACCTGCCGACGGGGCAGAAGAAAAGAAGGAAGAAGAAGAAGAAGAAGAAGAAGAAGAAGAAAAATAAGAAGAAGAAGAAGAAGAATAAGAAGAAGAAGAAGAAGAGGAGAAAAAGAGAAAGGCGCCAGATCACCCAGCACTGACCGCCTGAAGCGGCCAGCCCCCATGCCTCCGTGGCTTTTCCAGCACCACGGGACACTGGCTACCCCCAACGGACCTCCGTGCGGGGCACACGGAGCGGGCAGGCGTCGGATGACCAGGCCCACCCCCGCAGACCCCCGTGCCCAAGGGGGGCCTGGTGGGACCACGTCTCTGAGCCGTGCCCAAAAGGCCACCCCCCCTGACCACACCTGACACCGAAACGTGTCGGGCAGGCAACAGCAGTGGCCAGAGCCTGCCCCAAATCCGGGCAGGTACCGTACAGGCCGACGTGCACCCATCGCGAAGGACGGGACTGCGCCGACCCAGGGACGGGTGCCCTCGCGGGACCGAGAGGCCCGAGCCCCGTGGGACCTGAGACGGCAGACCTGGCCACATAAGGGGACCGCCCCAGCTGGTCCAGGGGTGCCGCCCCTGGCCCGACAGGGCCCCGACCCCCCTGGCCCGCGGCGCCACAAGCGACGTGTAGGCGGATTTCACTGCACCCCAGGGGCCCCGATGCGCCGCCCACGCACCGAGGTGCCCCCTTCTGGAGGTTTCCTCCCTCCTCCCTCCCCCCCTCCCTCCTTCCTCCTCCGCGTTCCTCCTCCTGCCTGCTCCTCCTGCCTGCTCCTCCCTCATCCCTCCCTCCCTGCCTCCCTCCTCCGCTCCTGGCGCCGGCGCGGTCGCCTCGCCCAAGGGGGGGCCGCTTCCCCCCCCTGGCCCGCCAATTCCCGCAGTCGCGGAGGGGCCGCCCGCGCCTGTGCCCGCCGCCCGCCCTGCCACGGCACGACGAGGGCGCCACGCGCCCCAGCGGGGCGCGGCCCGCCGGGTACAGCGCAAGGTGCTTGTCGGCTGCCTGCCCAGCGTGCCCCGCGCCGCGGAGGCCTCGCTCGGGGCGCGGCCCGCCGGGTACAGCGCAAGGTGCTTGTCGGCTGCCTGCCCAGCGTGCCCCGCGCCGCGGAGGCCTCGCTCCGCGCGGATGCGGCCCCGTGCGGCGGATTCCGGAGACCCGGAACCCCAAAACGTTTTCTTTCGTCTCTTGGGGCGCCGCTTCTGCTTCCGCCGCGCTTCCGCCGCCCTTTCGCCGGCGGAGGCGGCCTCGTTTGACTTCCGCTCACCCTCCGCCGCCCTTCCGCCGCATGCCGCCGAGGAAGAGATGGCAACTCGTTCGACCCTCGAAGGCAGGGCCCGTTCTGGAACGCCTCATGTGCGTTCGAGGTCGCCGCTGCGCGCCTTGGTGCCGCGGTGCCGCCTCCAGCTCAAAACGTGGCGCGAGCGGTTGCCCAGCGGCTCACCGCAGCGCTGCTCAGCGCGCTCCCCCGTCCGCGCGGTGATGCAGCAGGCCAGGACGGGGGAAGCCGCAGCTTGGCCGAGATGCGTCCGCGCCGTGCTTCAGTCGCCTTTTCCTCCATCCTCCTCCTCCCTCCTCTCTCTTCCCGCATCCCTCTCTTTCTCCTCCTCCCTCATCCCCCCTCCCTCCTCCCTCCCTCATCCTCCCTGCTCCCTCCTCCTCCCTCCTCCTCTCCCTCCTCCTCCTCTTCCTCCTCCTCCTCCTCCTCCTCCTCCTCCTCCTCCTCCTCCTCCTCCTCCTCCTCTCTGACAGGAAAGAAGAGGGATGCGAGGAGGGAGTGAGGGAAACGAAAAGGAGGGTGAGGGGGAGGGGGGGGGAAAGGAGAAAGAGACCCGTGGAAAAGGGGGGAGTGAGTCTAGGGCAAAGAGCAGCCGGTGTTCCCCCCATGCTCTGGGCAAGATGCAGGAAGAAGCACTCTGCGGCAATACGACCGACTCCTCCTCCCGTTTCTCCTCCTCCTCATCATCATCACCACCACTACCACCACCACCACCACCGCCACCGCCACCACCACCACCATCAGCAGCAGCAGCACCATCAGAAGCACCATCATCACCACCACCACCACCACCATCATCATCAGCATCATCATCATCAGCATCATCAGCATCATCATCATCCTCCTCATCATCATCATCATCATCATCATCCTCATCATCATCATCATCATCATCATCATCATAGCCATCATCACCATCATCAGCATCATCATCATCATCGTCATGACCATCACCATCATCATCATCACCACCATCATCAGCAGCATCATCAGCATCAGTATCATCATCATCAGCATCAGCAGCATCATCAGCACCATCATCAGCAGCAGCATCCTCATCATCATCAGCAGCAGCATCCGCATCATCATCAGCAGCAGCATCAGCATCATCACTATCACCATCAGCATCAGCAACAGCAGCACCATCAGCAGCACCATCATCACCACCACCACCACCATCATCATAATCATCGTCCTACTCCTCCTCACCATCATCATCGTTATCGTTATCCTCCTCCTCATCAGCGTTATCCCCCTCATCATCATCATCATCAACAACAACATCATCATCCTCACCACCACCACCAACGCACCATCATCATCATAAGCACCATTATCATTACCACCGTCAGTATCATCCTCCTCCTCATCATCACCATCATCATCGTCCTCATCGTTATCGGTATCGTCATCGTCATCGTCACCGTCACGATAATCGCCACCATCATCATAATGAGAATCATCATCATAATCATGATCAGTATCACCATCATCAACAACATCATCATCATCGTCGTCGTCATCATCATCATACTCATCCTCGTCCTCATCCTCATCGCCAACTCCGCTTCTCTTATAGATAACACCTCCCTGACGCACCCCCAGGCCGGTCGGAAGGGCAGGCCGGGCGTTTCGCCCGAGACTTCCTCACCACTTCTGATCCTGAAGTTCCTAAACTAACGCAGTTTCACGAATGGAGGTTGGACGGTGTTCAAAATGCGGATCTCGCCTCAACGTCGCGCACATTCGTCTCCAACATCTGCAAGAGCTTCACGGATTGATGGCGGACGGCTTTCAAAATATGGCTCTCGCACTAGCGCCGCGCATACTCGTCCTAAACATTCGCAAGAGCTTCACGGATTGAGGGCGAGCCGCTTTCAACATGTGACTGACGCCCTAGCGCCGCGCACACTCACGCAAAACATCCAAAAACATGTCATGGTTTGAGGGCGGTTCCTTTTCGAAACGTTGCTCTCGCAGTAGCGCCGCGAACATTCGTCTTGAAAGTTTGCAAGGGTTGAAGGCGGCTCATTT